GGCCGAACACCATTCAACATAGAAAGAGATAAGAGTGTCCGAGAAATGCACAAGCCTATCTGTGTGATTGCTATGATATCAGCAGAAATACAGTTTTAAGTGTTGAATATAAAATAGAGAAATGCAAAAGAACTAGTACCCTAACTGAAAGAACTCTGTCCGTTTGAATTTGCCTTTTCAGCTGATTGATTCTGTACTTTAGAGATGCTGAAGAATCCTCTTCATTTTCTCCATCGAACTTCTGTCAATTTACAAAGTTAAAGTTTTCATCCATGCTTAATTTATTCAAAAAGAAACACAAACAAATACTCATCTGAAATTGAATTGGGGAAAAAAGAAAAAGCTCAGACCTCATTAAATTACCTAGTAAAGACTATATTATCAGATGACATTAAAACAACAAAAAGGTACGGGGGAAAAGAACTCATAACCCATAATTTCATTCAACAAGGTAAGTTGAATAGATCATTAGCTAGATTGACAATTAAAGCAAATAGACCTAGTTAAAAAAACACAATCCAGGAAATATGTAAAGCATACTACTTTTCTAGTTCTTACTATTTCCTTACACTTTCCCCCTGTTTACTCATCAATGTCCTTTGTTTAATACCCATTTTCAGGAGCGGGAAAGCAAGGAAAATTACCAAGAACACAAAAAAAAACATGTTTTTTCTTCAACAAATTTTCATAGTTTTCCAAGAATTTCAAATACCCCACAACCCCACAAGAATATATGGATCAACAAGATGATCGGGGCAAAAGGGTGTGCAGAAAGTAGTCAAATTTGATGATGTGATTAACTTAAAAAACAATTCAAACATAGAATCAAGAAAGGTACTGACAGTGGGTGTGGGCGCAGATTCAGCAGAGATGGAGGTGGAGGAGATCATCAAGTCCTGTGTAGATAATCTTTCACAACAATAGGGAAGTGAAGGAATAGTTTTGATGAAGAAGAGAGGAGAGTAGCGTAGCGGAGTGATAGGAGACTTACGTGGAGATGGACTGATGATGTGACATAAAATCCGAATATGATATTAGAGTTTGATCTATTTTTTGTTTTTGTTTTAAATTAACTGTGTCTGTTAGGGTTGAATCAAAATATATATTTAAATTCGGAAATTTATCGATGTTTTTCGCGAAAATTTAATATCATATAATTAATAAAATAATATTCAGATTTATCAATCATTAAAAATAAATACTATATTATCTTACATATAAGACTACAAAGTAACGAACATTAATAATGTAAATGAAAAAAGTAATTATAACATCTTATCATTTATCCTTCAATCGATCTTCTTGAATTTGATTTTATAATTTATCCTTTTGCCTCCTCGAAGTAGTATTGTTATTTGATATTTTTGGAAAATTAGATAAACATCAACATGAGACATTAAATTTTCTAATAAATAAATAATATTTATACGTATTAACAAACATTTATAACAATAATTGTACAGAAATATAAACAACAAAATTTAAAAACAGGAACTAAAAAAAACAATTAGTATAATACACATAAATTAATGACGATAAAAAAAATATATCAACATCTAAAACAATAGAATGAAAAAGAAAGAAAAAAATTGAGTCTACTTAATGCACAGTGTCCCCTTAAGGAAATTATTCCCTTAGTACCGAGATTTAATGAAATTATTTAGACGTGTATTCAGATTCAAAGATCGCAATCTTAATAAAAACAAATGAGGTCTAAGACACTTTAATTGGACGATGTTCACTTTAGATAACTTATATAGAATCCCGCTATGTCATTTTGACAACCTTTTAAATATAAACAAAAACATACAATGCGTGTGTATTACACTCGCGGATAATGTATAAAATAACCAATTAAACCACGACATCTGTCATTTATGTCAAATTAATTATAAATAATTAATGATAAATAAAAAAAATGATCAATAAATTAATGACACATAATATTTTATTTTTGAAACTGATAACATTAATGATGACACGTAATATAAACACTTAATTAAAATATGTAAGTAAAAAAATTATACCAACTTTAAAAGGCTACCGATGAATTAAAACATATTTTAATCCTATGAGTTTTAATTTTGTACTTAAATTATCACCCATAGTATATTTTTTAAACGAATGAATTACACTTAAGTGTATGAAAAATAAATGCACACATGCTGTTCAACAAAATTCCAAAGAGAAAGCAATTCATCTTAGTTTGTGCATAACTCAATGGAATTTCCAAGCAGAAGTGGAATAGATTGGAGTTCCTTTCCAGCTGATCATGAAAGACCCTCTGTTAACATCCACACTGCAAGAATTCTTACAAGCAAACTGTTGAATAATCAAGTTAGCTTGATACAAACATGTGTCACTTAGCTTTACTTCCTCCATTCCAAACCTCTTCAAGAATGATCTCCACACATCAAGATTCACACTTCTAATGACCCTTTCCTCCCCTTCATTTCCTACTACGTTCCGAATCCCTGCTCCGTATGACACTTCCAGTGTCATCCTGTGTTGATCATCCCGCTTCATTACATCTTCCAGGCAATCAAATAATGCACTGTAGTAGAATAAAGTGTCTATGAATCGGTTCACGAATAGAGGTGAATTCAGATTTGCCTCTACTTCTGATACTACCATTAGTGATGGTTGTAGCCTTCTTACAACTCTCATTGCAGTTTCTAAACAGTTGGGTATGCTGATCATTGCTCGTAGAAAGAATGCTGCATGGATTACTACTGCTTCGTCAGGTTTTATGTCGAAGTGGTCTTCGGTCAGTTGGTTTCTATCTGGTAAAAAGATGATCTTGAATGAGAAGGGGAAGTTCAAGGAATTAGCGAAACTCTCTAAAGACTTGCCTGTTTCTATTACTCTTTCTTTATTGACTGATTCGATAACTGTGATCTTCATATGTTCGATTGGGTTGTCTTTTCTCTCTGCTGCTGCTTGGATCAAGGATGCCCATTGTACCCCTGTTCTGATAAGGAAATCAATTAGGTGAACTTTGGGTTTCATTGCTACACTTTCTAGTATGGCTTGAATTCCTGTGAAATGCACTATTTGGGTGAATGGAACTTCTTGATGTAATGCTACGAATGAGGCATGGAATCTTGATGCAACACAGATACTGTTAAGTTCATCTGTCTCCGTGCAGATTTTTGGCATTAATTTTCCTGTTTCTCTATCGATCCTCTCTCCAAGTGCTTGTGCAAAATAAAAGACTGCTCTTTGCACAGGGTTACCTGTGTTTGATGCAAGTAGTTGGCATTGACTCAGAAATTTCCTTGCACGATCGTAGTGCTGGTCAGAAACTTTCTCAGCTACAGCTAGGAGGATTTGAGCAAGTTCTACATTTTGATTATCTTCAGGAGAAAGGTCTGAGAAAGCAGAACCATAGGGGTGCAAAAGATTGTTTATGTTGATGAACTTGTTGGAAGAGAACTGGATGAATCTTTCTCCGGCTAGCCTCATGATTTGTGTAGCTGAGAGCTTCTGGTGCATGTTGGCTCCGCCATTCACATCTCTAACTTTATCTCTTCTCCTGCACCTGCTCGGATTGTTACTCAACAATTCAAAAGGAGCTAGAGATAGAAAAGGTACCTCCTCCACATTGCTTCCTGTTTCTAGATTGTTGAGCTTTGTTTTTCCTCGACTTAACTGACCTGCAGAATGGGCAGCATGCTCATTCAGTTCTTCTTGTTGTTTATTCATTTCTTGTTATTGTTGATTGACTGTATATTCTTGATAGAACCCATAGTTGGTATAGAAGTTCTGGATATCTGTGGAATCCTGCATAACTGATGAATGGTTTCAACTCTTTACAATATCTACTCTACCACCTCTGATAGAGCCATCACTCCCTGGGATTTGGTTGGAAGTGAATGGTGAAAGATGGAACAAACTGGGGATTGGCCATATCAGAACTGAGAGTAATTTGCAAGCGCCTCCTGATCCGCTAAGGTTAGCATCAGGTAATATAATTGATATTTTATCAAATTCCAAGTTTATAATTACAAATTAAAGCTGTGCAACTGGCCGGTGATGGGACGACTTAAAACTTTGAGAGATTAACCCTTCATTATAAAAAAGACCATATACAGCTGAATATAATACTTTGACAGACTGTGACATAAACATTTATCGATTAGTTTTACAGAGTTATGATCATCTAGAAAAAAAGTGCAATTGTATATCTTGTTGTGTGTTTAAGATGACAAAGTAATATTGCTGGCTTTCTAGATTTTTAATAAGACTAGAAGGACAAGAAAAAAATAAGACATGGCACTAAGGACAATGTGGTTGTGTTGTGATTTATGACCCTTCTTAAGAAATTCAGCCTACCTACTTTTGGACATACTGTAGTTTTGCTAAGTAGTCCTTTCTAAAGGCTGAATCCATCGGCAGCCCCTTAAATTTGATATCAATTTTCACTTAGACACCTCAAGTAGACTTTGTTCATTTTAAACACCTCAAGTAGGGGTTCACTATGTCATTTTGGCACCTTTTTGCCAATCAACTAAAGTTACAAAGTGTGTGTAATACACTTGCGAATGACATGACATGATGACTGATAAAAAGCTGACATGTGACATTTGAATGTAAAAATAATAATTTTAAATAAATTATTAAAAAAAATTAAATTTTCAGCAAAAATAAATAAATAAAATTACTTATTTTCTACCATCCCACCCCTACCCCATTTGCCTTACATCTCTTTTGCCTCCCCAACTCTACAATCATTTTCTTAATTCTTCTTTCAATTTTTTTTTTTAAAAATCATTAGATTTTAGGTTTCTTTAATTGATTTTGAAAATTATATATGACATTCTTCTAACTTTTTGAAAAAAAAAATGTGTCTTGTTCTAAAATATCTTTTCAAAATTAGTGTGATGATTTTTTAAAATTTTGTTCTTATAAATGTTTTTAAAATTAGTGATAATTTTTTTATTTTATTTTTTCATACTTTGTAAGATTTTTTATCATAAATTTTCATGGAGAAGGTGGAATAAGTGGTAGGGCTAAAAAGTGAAGAAGAAGTAGGAAAATAAATCCAAAAAAAAACCTCACGCGCTCAAAATGGGTGCACGCACACAATATGTCAAGTCAGCAAAAAGTGTCAAAATAACACAGCGGGACTCAACATGAGATGTCTAAAATGAACAAAGTCTAGTTGAGGTGTCTAAGTGAATTGATGCCAACTTTAGGGGGCTACCGATGAATTCAACCTTTTCTACATTGAGATGGTGACAGGTTATGTGAATAACAATTGGATAACAGTTGAAGAATGTATAAGACTACCTATACATGAATTGCAGACAAGCAAATGGACATCTCACCAAAAAAATAAAAATGCTAGAACCTGTGCACAAAATTAACAAGGCCACCCTCAAGATTTTTTTTGTGAAGTAAAGAACTATGTGGAAATTGGCTTATTTATTGAATTTGTCTGTCCTTGTGCAAGTTATGGTTACCTTTTGTTTTTTTAATAAGGTAAATATTTGATTAAATGGTACCAAGATGGTACAAGAAAAGAAACAAAAACTACATATAACAAAAGCAGCCTTACTACACTCTTCTTCCATATACTGGTTCATACTATCCATTAAGCTACTTTACACCAGAAGTAGAATTCTATAAACATCTTATCTTAATTCTAGAAAATTTGAGTTCTCTGTCGTTCAAAGCAAGCGTTGTTCAGCTCCAGCCCTATTGTCCATAAGATGCTCAATGGAGTAGTTCTCTACTTTATCTCTTTTGGTATCACCTGCCACTGCCATCCTTCTGGTAAACCTTTCGCATTTTGAGACATCACCCATGTCATTCCAGAAAGGTTAAAGGAATAACTCCCATCATTCTCTAGAAAATCTGGAATGGAGAAAAAGGTTCTCAACTGCGCTGATTTACAGAACTTGTAATTACGCCTGTTGCACTGACTTAGTGCAAATACTTTATACAATATACTGCATACCCATCAAACAAAAAAAAGGTGATCAACTGCTTCCCAATATTCTTGACACAGGTAGCATCTACTGCATAGGTCAAAACCTCTCTTGTGCAAGTCTTTTTGAGTTAAGTATACCCCCATGTTGCAACCCCTCCAAAACATGCTACTTTAACAGGAGCTTTTGTCTTCCATATCATCCTCCAAGGCCAAGAATTATCCCACCGACATGTCTTTATCAACACACTAAAGCAATTCTTAACTAAAAAAAAATTCTTGTCTTTACTTGCCCGCCAAATCAGGATGTCCACTCTGATCAATAAAAACTGATCCAAATTATTGAAGAAACTGACGAAATTCTTGTATCTCCCAATCATTCAAACTCATCCGGAACCTTTGCTGCCAATCAGATTTAGAATGAAATTTAGCAATACCAACCTTTTTAGTTGAGCAGTTAAACAGAGTAGGAAGCTAATATTTTAGACATTCATCACCAATCCACAAATCTGTAAAAGGATAAACCAGAAGGCATGATATTTGTGATGAGGTTATAACTTTTGGGACCATAGGACTTCAAAGGTTTCTCTTCCTTTTTTCAGGCCTAATCATAGGTGTCTATTGCAATTCCGCTGTTAACATATTTGATCTAAAGGGATAGAGTAGTTATTAACCAAGCCATTTCCAGTCTCCCGCGCTTCTTCAAGTATGTGACTCTAAATGAGGACTTCTGTTTCTTCTACCCACTCTTTGTTCACAAGGTGCTCAAAACAAAGGAGGAAGGGTGAACAACAGGTACACAAGCCCTCTATCCCAGAAATATGAGTTTAGGGGCAAAATTCTTGACTTAGGCAGCTTGGAGATGCTTTATGGTCCGTTGATGGTGTACAATTGAACTGAGAAAGTAAGCATCCTATTTGTTTCCTCAATAAAAGCAAATTGTTTTCTTACAAGAACTTCCAAATGGATAGAGAATGAATTGGTGTTCCCTTCCACCCAATAATGAGGCCTTTCCCATCCTTTTGAAGATCACAAGAACTTCCTTGGGCAAATTGCTTGAGAATCAGATGAGCTTGATACCAAGCTGACTCACTAAGCTCTTCTTCCACCATACCAAACCTTGCAAAGAACGCTCTCCATACTTCAAGCTTCACATTCCTGGTGAACCTGTCCTCAGCTTCAGCCGCCACGATGTTCCGAATACCTTCACCAAAATATACCCCTTCAATCGTTGTTCGACATGGACTGCATCGATCCATGCAGTCCTCGAAGCAATCAAAAAATGCACTGTAAAAGAAAAGAGTCTCAATAAAGCGGTTTAAAAATGATGGTGAATTATGGTTTGCTTCAACTTCGCCAACAACAATAATTGTTGGTCCAATACTTCTGACTACTTTCATCAAATTATCCAAACAATCTGGTTTTGATAGCATTGTCCTTAGTATAGAGTTACAGTAAACAGCCACAGTCTCATCTGTTTTAATATTGACCGACTCTTTCTTGAAATCTTTCATGTCCGAGACAAAAACTATATCAAATGAAAATGGCAGGCCTAAGGACTTGGTGAAACTGTGTAATGTGTTGCTTGTTGCTTCAAAGTTCTCTTTTTCTATGCTTCCAACTGCAGTTATCTTAAGAAGCTCAATTGGACTGTCACCTTTTTCTGCAAGAGCTTGTATCAAGACTATCCACTGAATTCCACTTCTGATATTAAAATCAATCAAATGAATTTTTTTTGCGCTTCTGACATTTTCAACAATTGTTTGAACTCCTGCAAATTGCATCACTTGACTGAAAGGAATTAGTTGGTGGCAGGTCAAGAATGCAGAGTTGGTACCTAATGACATAATTTTAATATACTTGAGGTGGTGATCTTCATCCGTACATGTGTATCTTCCAGTTGATCGATCAATCCTTTCTTCTAAAGCTTTAGCAAAATAGTAAGAAAGTCTCTGGACTGGATTACCTGAATCAGATGCCACCCACATACAACGAGAAATCAATTTGCTAGCTAGATGGAATTGTTGATTATTCACTTCTTCTGCTGCAGCTAGGAGGAGGTGGACAAGCTCCACATCCCTTGTTTCCTCCATACAAAGGCCTGAGAGTGCCGAACCATAAGGGTGAATAAACATAGAAAAACCATCTAGCCTTTGGGTGGAGTACTGTATGTACCTGTTCAGACATAATATGATCAAGTAATTAAAAGTGTGCTCGCTCTAACATCTAAAACTTTTAGATGAGATGATAGGATACTTCAACATGGTATCAGGGTATCCAAAGATCTAACAGCTTAAACTTTAAGATAAGATAGTCACACAATTTTGGCAGTACCTTTCTCCTGCAGCCCTCAAGATCTCTTTCATTGGCAACTTGTGGCTATTCTCTAAGTGAGCCTCACAACTTAGTGCATTAGTGCACAAGTTTTCCTCACTGGATTTCTTGCTCAGTCTGCCATAATTGCTCAGTAGCTCCAAAGATGCTAATGAAAACGGCTTTGGTTTTTCATTGCTAGAGTTGGCAGGTGCTGGTACTTGAGGCGGGAAATCATCATTTGTTGGTGCTTCAATAGTAGATTGGATTTGGACCGGTTGCAAGGGCATGACTGTGTTGGTGAGGAAATGATTTTGCGTCCAATCTGATAGGCTTTGTTGCTGATCTTCCAATAAGTTGGTTCTAACTTGTTCATCAGATGTATTCTCTTCATTGTTATGTCCACAAATGGAGTACAGAGAATCAATATCTACACAACCTTCTTCAATACCATTGACCACTAACTCACTTCTCTCATATCCTTTAAGATGAAACTGATCATCCTGGAAATCACTAAAAATATCATTAGAGATTGAGACATTGGTCATGGTCTAAACTCTAGGACGAATTAGTGGTACCCTTAACAAAGTAGGCCTCGAATGGCTTTATAGTTTCAGGAGTACTGTCTGAAAATCAGCACCATGTTACTTCTTGGATATATTTTTTCTTTTGATGGCTATGAGAGCTTGACAATAGTGAAAGTGAACTCTGTTGAGAGTAAAAACTTATGGATACATAGTGTTTTCACCAATGACATGTGTTTGCATATAGACTTATCTTGTTTACCTATGATAAGTTGATACGATTTGGTGTAAACATCGAGGAGCCAATAAGATAACCTGGTCATAGAGAGATTCAGCCACATTTTAAAATATTGGTTCAGTATGATGTTTCCATGGCAACAAGCAGAAGAGTCCAGATGAAAGAATACACATCCCAAATAGATTACCATTGCTTTTATCTCTAAAGAAACTTCAATCATGTACACAATATGCATGTGGACAAATGCATAATTACAATCGAAAACAGATTAGAGCTAAATAGTGACATGTTTGGATGGAAAGGAAAATATTAATAGCGAAACACTAGTTATAAGCCCTTGAAATATTTACATCGAATCAATAAACATAAAACATATAACATGTTCTCACTAAATCAATTCAACCACATTAAATTCATGTGGTTTGGTATAAACATATACTCAATAACTCTACCAAAAGTAGAAATTACAGAAAAGGAAAAATACAAGAAAAAAAAAAAGAATATGTCCAAATTCAGACCTTCTCATCATTGTTCCTAGAGTCACCATCAGTATTGTCAAAATCAACAACTCTTCTACCAAACATTACATAAACAAGCCAAACAAGAGTTTTCACAATTTTGATCATACCAATTGTAACAGTTAAATAATACAACCACCAACCAACAAAATCAGCCAATCCAATACTAATCAACAAGTCTCTTTTTTTCTCCACCACAACCACTAAAAACTCAACTTCATCTCTCAATCTCCACCACCAAAGTCCACCAAAACTCATTGCCAATGCTGCCTTTTCAATCCATCTATTTTCTTGTAGAATGCCAAAAACTGTGTCATCCACCACTGGCTTCACAAAAATATTGGACCAAAAGAACATTGTCTCATTTAATCCCAAGAAGAATATAGCTCTTGTCAAAAATCCCCTTTCATAACCAATTTCATAAGCATCAACTCCAGCAGCTATACTACCTGTTGGAACACAAATTAACCTCTTAAAACATAATAACATCACACATTATAAATGTAGCTACAATAATAGAGTAATAACTCTCTCTCTCTCTCCTTTGACTTCTTAGATCATTTAGTGTACGTATTTTCGATTTTCTATTTTATCGACTTAATTTTCTAGAACAACACTTACATTTGAAAGAGCGGGAAAAACACATAATATTCAAAATTATATTCTCAACACGCACCTTCAATGCCTAAACCAACACAAATTTGCAATATGCATACGAAAAACCACGCGGTGTATAATCGAAGTCTCGAGACGGGCTCTGGGGTACGCTTGATGAAGCAAGAGGTACCACCGGTTAAGGTATGAGAAAGTGCAGCAACACTGATGATAGAAACAAGAACATGTAGAAAAATAGGGTTAACTTGAAGAAAAAATTTGATTAGTAAATCACAATTATTTGAAATTTCTGTTTTTGAATAACCTACAAGATCAATAAGATAATGTGCAACAGATAGCCTAGAAATTATAAGAAAAGAAAGAGGAAAAAGAAGACTAAGAAGAATAGTTGTAAAAAATTGAAATGGTTCTCTAAATAAATTTGCAAAAGAATCCATGAGAAAAGAGCTAGAAAAAAAAATTGAATGGAATTCTTGTTGTATATGAAAAAAAAGTATATGAAGATTAAGTACTATATATGTTCATGAAGAATGCATTTGAAAATAATACAAAGTATAAGAAGTGGTTGTCACGATGTCTATGTCTACCAAGTTTGGTTAAATAAATATAATTATAATATAATGTTTGTATGCAACAAATCAAATAATAATGTGTGGGGTATTAGTTTAGTCTTTATTTTAGATTATTTATGAAGGGATAACATGTAGTTTGATGCTTTGATGATAATTGATATATGGTCTAATATTTGTTTATTTGTTTCCCATCAACTACCAATAGATATATATATATATTTTGAGAAGTGTAGAATGGATATTTGGTAGATTACTATTGCAATTTTAAAAAATTGAGAGTCACCTAATTTACGAAGAAGTTTGTTTATATGGAAACACTATAGAGGTGGAATGTCATAGAAAGTTGATGTGTTATATCACCAAATAAAAAAAAATGAGGGGGGAGGGGCTTATCAAAATTAAAATAGATTCTTTATTAAAAATATATATTTTTTTTAGAGATTCGTAGAAATTGCGGATTATTCAAATTATAAAAAAAAATTGATGACATCTTAATTGCAGTGTAATTAAGTTTCGATTTAATCTAAACACAAGATAAAGGTGTGACTCTTTTGATGATAAAAGTGGTAGTAGTATTAAAACATTAAATTGTTAAAAAAAAATTTATATTGATTGAATAAAAATTAAGCTATTTGAAAGATAATCATCTTTCTTTTTCTAAAATTAAAAATAAAATTGGGACTTGAACTATATGACGAGTCAATATTTATCATAAGAACATAGTTTTTTTTGGAAATCTAATTTATGTGTCATATAAGTTTCTTATTGTTTGTCCCAAAAAGGATACAATATTTGTTTTATTTAAAAATAATTAACTTGAAATTTGCCATATTACTATGAATTGTTTATAACTTGTAGTTTTGAACAAGTTCTTTAGTTGAAAACTTACCTAGTTGTTCCCTTATTTTTATTATTTTGATCGAATCCTTAATTTATTCTATATGTTAGGAGTGCGTGAAAATTGATTAATCAATAAATTGGATCGATAAAAACTTACAGTATTGATCTCTTATTTTTATCACCCAATAATTTTGCTTTTACTTGGTCTTTTCCTGACCTATTTTGTTCATTATCTTTTATTTTTTGAAATAAAAGAGATATTTTACATATAATTTTATTTTTTTTCTCGATAAATTTCATAATGTTAGATATTATAATATATAAATTAGTTATTCCTAGTGAAAATGAATTGTTTGTGTGGTTGGAAGCCTGCACATCTCAAAAGATTGAGAATTTTAGTATAATATTGAACAAATTAAACTATTCAAAGGGGAGTGGACTTCAACTTATTTACATGACAATTGGACCAATCCAATTTTTATTTATTTTTATCCCTCCCTCTCCGAGTTTCCATCTTTTTATTTTTTTTTATGGATCGAATTTATAATTTTAAAGTTGAAGGTGAACGATGCATAACACTTGCAATCACCTATCGTCCAATTTGATACAATATGTAGGTCATTTGGTAGAATGTATTAGAAAATCTAGTACATGTACTAGTCATAACATTATTTAATTTTTTGTTTGATGGGATTTTGAACCTATATGTATAAATATGTATTAGTTGAATATATACCATATTCAATATTGTTTTATAGGGCATATAATAATACATATCAAATCATGATATTAGCAGTACATAGGATATTAAAACACAAATAAGCATATCTAAAGAAAAAAATTAGTTTTAATACACCCAATCAAATCAAATAGTAAATAAGAAATAGGATTCTAATATAACTAGTCGCATCATTATTCACATATATCAAATATTATTTTTTTATACCTTATCAACAAATAAATTTAGTAAAAGGAAAAGTTAGAGACAAGCTAAAAGAAATATATGAAGCAGTAATTACTCTCTCTGTCCCATTTTATACGTCATCCCTTTATATAGATAGTTGGACCACAATACTTGTTATTTTATAAAAATTATGTATAAATTATCATATTTTATCTATAATACCCTTGATAGAATAGTTAATTAATCTTGTCATTTATTAATATAGTTGACTTAAGAAAACATTAAATAAGAGTAGAAGGGTAAAATTACATCATTTCTTAATTCAAGTGTAAAGTAAAAAGGTGATATATAAAATAGAACGGGTAGTAAATTCTGACCCTTCAAGGTGGCCCGTGGTTTGGGCTTGAGACCTCCATGTTGGAGGTCTCAAGTTCAAAATATTTAGCAAGGAGTTTGTCTTTTGAGTTCGTCCCACCGTATTTGCTTTATACAAATTACATAATTTGCACTCTATTGCATAAAAATGAAAATTTTAACTTATGCATACTCAAAAAATAGCAATCGTAGCTTTCGCTTGTTATACAAAATAATTAATTTGTTCTGATGGCTATCCATGGCAACGACAAATCAATCCCATTAAACGCATTGTTTATAAATTATTTGATTTTTGGTTCGTAAAATGGCCAAACATATTGTACTATTAAGAAATAGTGATTGTGGGTTATCGTTTTTCTCAAATTGTGATGGTGGGGCTATTATTTTTTCCTATCAATGGGGCCACTAGAATATGTAAGTAAAAAGATTTTGAGCTTATCATACATTTTTCAATTATAATTAAGAATAAATTATGATAAAATATAATGGAAAAAATAAGTTTAACCCATAGAAGTGATATTTCAAATTAAAGGTATAATTAGGAGTAATATTTAAACTGAAATAAAGAAAAAGTATATTTTTGGTTTGGCTCACTTAAATACGTGGGTACAAAAGAAAAATATATATCACGTTTATTTTGAATTAACTAACTTAAATAAGATTGATTCGTCTTTGTATTCGCAAGTTTTTGTTAATTAATATCTTTAAATAAAAAGGTTTGTAAATATCTTCCACATTAATCCTTAAATTTTGAATCATCGAAAGAACAAAAAAAGTGAAAGCTCCTGAAAAGGATAAAAAAGAAAAAAACCGTAACACTAGTATCTCAAATACTAACTCAACTCTCGAGTTAGTTCAATTCTCTATCTTGTAATCCTTTTCCGATTTCTCCGCTAAATTGTATAGGTGGAGGCATTATGTATAGAGCCTGCTTTAGGCCCTCAACCTTTCTATTCCCCTACACTTGGAAGAAGTTGTGAGGGTCTGCATAATGTAATTTTAGAAGATTTTTTGGGTTTTTCTGAAAAAAAAAGTGAAACAAACCATAAATGAGTATGGAATATTTGGCACAAATTTTGAAAAATGATGGGATGGCTGCTCTATCAAGGATTTGCACCTCAAAAGCAGCATGTATCTATTTAAAAAAATATCTTTCGTTTAATGATAAATATTAATTAATCTCGATAACTATTTATATTTTAAATATATGAGATAAGTTATTCTATATACGTGTATATTAAGATAAGTTTTGTGTGTAATGTTATATTCTAGTTGTAGATAAAAGGAACAAATATTTGAGTGGAAAAGGGTGAAAATGAAATGAATAATATTCCATATTGGCACACATACAGTTATTGTCTGAGTGGAAATGTTAGCTCTACAATAAATGACATTCATAAAGATAGGACTGAAAATAACTTGTTTAAC